ATGGCTTTTAAGGCCCTTTCCAATCCAATGATCCTGTGATTGTGTGACATGAGGGATCAGAACCCCTGCTGACCTCCCTGTGTCTGAGACAGCTCCTCACTGGTCCCAAGGCACYCACACAGAGCAGGGTGGCCAGACARGAGCTGTTCCCCTGTGCCCCATCCAGCACGGTGGTGACGGGGCAGCAGCACAGGAGCCTGTGAGGCTGCTCTGAATCACCCTTTGGAAGGATTTCACTTCCTTGCTCTCTGATCCAAGGCTGCTTTCTTGGCAGGAGCCTCCCCCCAGCAGTCAGGGGTGTACTTGCTGCTTTGGTTGGTTGGTGTTTTTCCAGTGTTTGCTCTGATACACAATTAATGAAACGTAAGTGCCTCCATTTATTGCTCTCTAGGGAATCCCTTGGACTGCAACTCCTGGCCTTTGGGGACATTTCTATTGTTTCAGCTGCCACCAAAGCCAAGGGAAGCTAAATCACGCTCTCTWCAGTGTGATGGGAGGGAGCTCACCTGCCCCTGTGCCCTGGCCTTGCCTGCAGTTGCCTCAACATTGTCTTTAATGAGGGACACGCCACAGTGGCTCTGGCAYTACAAGGTGACCACTACCCGCGAGCTCTGGGCTCTGTCACCAGCCCAAGCAAGGTCAAATCACTTTGCAATACTTGACTGATCTCTCAGCATCAACAAGCAGCTTTGGAAGAGGGCAAGGAAATTCTGAGAGTGGGGAATAATTCAACCTAATTCAGGTAAACAAAATAAAGCAATCTGTGAGTCTCGTGCTACAGGCCTGCTGCCAAATCTGCCACGTCTCTTCCAAGGGCTTCACCTGCCTGAGGAGCGAAGGTGACTCCATCCAACCTGTGTTTGGTAAGGTCCTGCTTTAGAGGTGTGCTACATTTCTGAAATGCCTGCATGGTAACCATTCTCAATGCCTCTGGTACTGGGGTTGGACAGCCCAAGACCACAAGGGCTTCCAAGAACAATATCCAGGGTCACAGCTACCTGGATTGATGGCTGCTCTCTTTATCAGGTTGCTTTATGAAGCAGAGGCTTTCCTCTGCCAATCCTTGCTGATGGAAAACACCTGCTTGGCTCCAGCTGGGTCTTTCTAGATCCCAGAAATGCCTGATTGAAGCCAAGCAAAACAAGGGGCTGTGGATTTTGGGGGTGGTTTTACCTGGAGCTGTGGAGGGGTTTCACTGCCAGCTGTCCTGCCTCRCTCAGGGAGCTCTGTCTGGCATTATGGAGGGTGTGGGAGCTGTGCAGCCACCTCGGACACGCTGCAGCTCACACAGCAGCAGAGCCAGGGAAAGCAGATCTCCGTGTTTGCCTCAACAGGCTGAGCTGTTACCTGCAGTGCACCAGTGTTACCTGCAGTGCACCAGGAGCTGCTTGGACAGCTTTGGGACAGGTGGACAGGCAAAGATCTCGCTGTGGGACAGTCCTGTTCCCCCACTGCTCTGAGTGAGCCCCAGGCCAGAGCAGACACTTGGCAAGGGGAAGGGACCAGGGACAGCATCACAGGTTTGGCTGTCAGCAGCCTGTRTCACTGCAGATGATTAGCCCATGAGAAACTTCTCTGATTTCTCATTTCACTGCATGGCTGAAGATCCCTTCTCCAGAAGGGTGAAGCCCTTGAACATTTTCAAGAGTCCAACTAATCAGTATTGCTCTRATAATCTAATTATGAAGGTGAAGCCTCGTTCATTAGTACGAGSCACTTACAGCATGAACAGGTCACAGCTCTGAGCCTAAGTCTGTTTTTTTCAAGCTCTGATTTGCAAAGTTTCCAGGGAATTTGCAGGCCCACAACACAGGTTTAGGCTGACCAGCACTAGGTCTGTTTTTTCAGCCATATGCTGCTTTTACTCACAGTGCTGATATAAGTGATTCTCAYCTTCTTCCTCTCCCCTGTGCTCGGCAGTGACAGGAGTTAAAATCATTTCAGATCTATCATTTTCTGAGTATTTTTAACCAGTCCCTTTCACAGAGCAGCCTCACAAACCCTTCKGTCTGGCTGCAGATCACAGCTTGAGGAAACTTTGCCCTGCATTTGCACCCTGCTTCAATCCAACCCCAAAGGCAGCACCAAAGAACAACCAAGAAGGTTGGGTGTCCCAGGGCAGTGTTTAAGGACACACCAGCCAACCCAGAAATTTGGGTGGCCCAGGGCAGTGTTTAAGGACACACCAGCCAACCCAGAAATTTGGGTGGCCCAGGGCAGTGTTTAAGGAAACACCAGCCACCCCAAAAGGGAGCAGCAGTGCTTGTGTCAAACACCAGCACTTTGGTCAGAGCTCACAAACTTCACGCTTTCTTTTGCTGTTTTTTCCTTATTCCATACACACAGGATTATTTTAAAATAGAAACTTCCTGAGAAGCTCTTAGACATTCGTAGGGCTCTGTTAGTCAGCAAGGTGCTTCACTTTGAGGCATTTGAGCAGCCCTGCCGAGATCAGTGGGCAGCTGCTCATGGTCAAGAGCCCAGTGAAACCCAAGGGCCAGAGGATYTCCTGACTATAGGGCATCCACTGGAGCAGAACAGCAACAAACACATCTAACAGCATATTTATACACGTTAGATGAGAACAACTTGTTCAGCAGCACTCTGCTACTGCAACAGTTACATTTATGCATGCAAAAATCTYGCAAAATCTGGCACAGACCCACTGTGGTTTGATGTAAAATAGCCTAAAAACAACCGCAACAACAAAACCCCCAGCAGAGCTCGCTATTAAAAACCCCCTTAAAATAAAGCAGAAAGAGAGAGAAAAATAGCAGTGCTGATTTCCTCATTCACAATCAGCCAGAGAAGAGAACTGCTAGCATTTGRTTTGATATTTATCACCCAGTAGCTGCAGTATCAGCCTGGCTTTCTTCAGGACCAAGTGCCATGAGAACCCTTCCTCTGCACACAGAGCTGGGCTGGGTCAGGCTCTGACACAGACCTAAAAACAGGGCTGGGAAGTTCACTAATTGCAAATACCACCAAAGCCAAAATTAGTGTTTGGGGAAGCTCAGCTTCAGGCCACTGTTTTCAATCAGAAGCATTAAATACTCAGGAAGCACAAATAAACCTTGATTTTTGGTCACATCTGTCACCAACAACTGTACCTGCTATCAGTGAAAAAAGCTGAAGAAAAGCAGTAAACTCCAAAACAATTTCAGCAAAGGGTCATAGAGACAACTGTAAGCAGAAAAATCAGTGGGAGCCATCGGTCCACTCCTGGCAAAGTTGAGGTTGTTTGTCATTAATTTCAGCAAAAAATAGGACACCCCCTTCTCACATTTAAGGCACTCTGGGACATTTTAGAATAAACTCCATAAATTATCACCTTCATCATATTCTTTTTCCCTTTTTCTGGCTCCCTTCAAGGACAGGACAACCTATACCAATCCCATTCCCAGGATTTTCATATAAGCACTGCCAGGAACCAAACAGCATCACTTACTGTTTTTATAAAGAAATACTATCATGGCTGAAAAACAAACTATGTTAGATCTCTACAAGAGAATAAATAAATCAGAGGAGCATATGTGGAGCTGTATCCAAAGAACCAGCCCTTGCTACTGGGATTGTGGGATTCTTAAATTCACATTATGAAAATGAGAAGCGTCGAGGGTACTTACAGGGACTGCAGTCCTTAGCTGCAGCACAGCGATCACCTGCTCACCGCAATTCCCTACATTCAGGAGGAGAGGTGTTCTCCCTGGCTGAGCTGTTCCTCCCACTGGCAATACCGGAGAAGAGGCACTGCCACCTCCTGTTTACCGGCTGCAATAGGAGTATTTATTGACAAGCAGCACAAGCTCCCACTCCCCAAGGATGAGCACCCAGACCAGGTTTTCATACATTTGTATGTTTATTATTTCAAAGTACAGTATATACATAAGGTACAGCAATACCTTTGAAAACTTTATACATAAACAAGTATCTACAAAATTAAATCAATAGACATTCTGTGTATATTCAGATGACGTACATACATAGATTGGAAGAATCAACATAGTTTGAGTTAGAACACGAAAATGGGAAGGAAACACCCATCCATCTTGGAAAAGCTCTTATTACCACCCAGCTCCCTCTGTAACACAGCCATCTGTCCCTGGGCAAGTGAGACAGGGTRCACCTGATTCCTTGTGCCACCTGCTGCTGGTATTCACATTCACAGTGCCTGGCACAGGAAGGGGGAAGGCCCTTGCTCTCTAAACCCCTCCCTAGATCCAGGTCTCTGCAGCATGTGGACACTCAGCTTTACACTTGATGCACTAGAAGCCAGACACACCTTCGTTTATTTTTTTTAAATTATGAACCAAAACATTGCAATGAAAAATATTTCAAGAGAGATACTATGGGTGTTGCCAGCAACAAGTGAAGATRATGAGAAAATATCCAAGGAAGAAATCAACCTCCAGTTTTCTGGACTATAATTAAAAATATTGCACAAGTCTATGTGGCAGCAAGCCAGTAATTTCTATAGCATAAAATGGTATTCTTCAAGTCACAGGGTCTGGCTTTAGACAATGACAGTGCTGGATTCTACAGAGGGTGGAAAAGCATAGGCAGCTTTGCTGTAGGGCCTCTAACAACATCTGTATGTGCGATGTTTGAATTAACAGAGCACCCTGAGTATTTAAGAAACAGATGTTTAAGCTTGTAAGACATAACCAGCCACAAGCTTGGAATTTTCAAAAGCAGCCTGTGGCAATTACATATCTAATGGACACTGAATTTCAGTGACAGGCATGTACCGAAATCCTCCAGGCTRCTTTCGTGAGCGATTTATTAATTTACCAGTTTATCTCTAAAACTCAAGTTTATCTGAGGACAGTTTTCAGTTTCATAATACAGTTTCAGGTTCATAATATAGTTTCCAAAACAATGATAAGTGGGATGAGATTTCTACACATGCCTTGCAGCCACCCTGCACCAGCTGGTGCTCACCTGTGTGARCCACCCCACAGAAACACCTTTCCACAGAAGGTGTTCTGTTACTGCACCAACAGCATCACAGTCCTGACAAGCTGCCCCATGGAAACAGGACCAGCAACATTTTATGGTGCATCCATCACTGCCTCTCAAAAATGAGGAACATCCTTACGCCAAGTTGCTGGCTGATCCCATCAGGTRCTCATCACACCCTGGGCTGACCAGAGTCACCTGCCAATGTGCAAGCCAGAATGACATTTCCATCTCTAACAGATATGTTTAAAATAACACCTGTGTGTGACAACTTTGGTCCATGAAAAYACCGTGCATAATAAACAACGTGGTATTTTGGCTGCTTTGTGTGTCTCCATAACCAAGGGAGAAAAAAAAGTCTGAGAAGTTATTAGTGCTACAAAGAGCAAGCAGCATTTCCAGCAGGGCAGGAGGACAGCTAAGTTTCTCAACTTAAAAAGGAGAAACGACCATGCCAAAAAGAAAAGTGAATTTCCACAAAGCCATTGCACTGATTCCATCTGCACAACACATCTCCTTCATTCACACTGTACACCCGGARAATATATATTAAAAGATTACAGTATTAACATGGTATCTAAAATACTGGAGTCCTTCAGCTGAATGCCTGAAAACATCCAGAGATCTGGTACACTGAAGCATGAAAACCCAAATATACAAGAGCTAAGCTATGTTTCAGCATGCAAATTGTTCTAAAATACTTTCAGCAGAAGTTCTAAGCTCAGTCATGTACAACTGTCTGTTTGCTTCCTGGAAGCTGTGACAAATGTGTTTCAGCAGAGCCACTCTTCACATCACTTAAACAACAGCAAAGAAGAGATAGTCCCATGACTGGACTGGCCCAAATTTCTGAACATTTCAGATAACCATTGCTCTCRGGAATTAAAAAAATAGACGTATAAAAACCCACCCAGATTAAAGGCTTGCMGCTTCTATATAATGCTCGCTTAGATTTGAAACAATTTATTCYCACTCTCCCTTTCTAAAGAAATACTTAATTCTTTGTCACTGAAGGGACCTGCCATCCCAGATTCTTGAAGGTCTCTGGACCACAGACCAGGTCTTGATCCCCCAAGGACTTTCAGAAATGTCTATCTTTGAACTAACAAGGAAATCTGTCTTGAATCAAACCATTCAAACCAAATTASGTTCTACTGCTCAATTTGTTTCATTACAAAGCTCAGGTAACTCAGTGGTATCTAAAAGTGGAGCTCACACCCCTAAGTCACCCAGATGTCTGATAAATTATCCTCCTCTGTGCTGCCAGATTCAGGTCCCTTGTTTTGTGTATGATGCAAGCAGTGCCTGCAGTAAGACAGATTCTCCCCCCACATGCCCCTTTTTGATTAAAGTAGCTAAAGCATCGCTAYTGTAAATGTATATTGACTCTTCTTTCATGACAATACGAAGTTCAAGTATTTAATAAAAACCTGAAGTATRTATTTACACTGTGATCTGATAAATTTATTTTGGTCAAAAGGTGATAGATACAGAAACTATGCATTTACTGCTGGAATAAAGATATTTCAGATCCTGTATGTTACTTATCCTGGAACTAAAATATGAACATGATGTTGTGACTAACCCAAATCTTGTCACCTTGATTTTCTTCCTCCATCACCCTCTCAGCCACTGAAGACTAARTAACAGTTCTCAGTTTGTGCCACTTTGACCTAATTCTTCACAACAGTAAAATCAAGGAGTTACACAGATTTCTGKGCCACTTTCACAGTCCAACAACAGATTAAAATCCCATTTAGATATAGTTCTCATTTCTTACCATTATTTTCACTTGCTGGTCTAGCCACAGCTAATGAGGAAATTTWGTTAGTTTCCATTTGTCTTTGAAAACAGATGCAATGACCATGTCTACCTGTACATGCAATGGGCAGCTAAAACTCTTACTTCTTAAATGCTGTTAGTTATGCTAAAGCCCAGAGAACTTTATTAACTAACTTTCATATCAGACTTCTTTAGATCCACATGTCTAAAGATCAAGGGTTTCCAAGACTTGCTGAACTGACATTGGTTTCAATTACATGAACTCAAGAACTGAATCAGAACACYTCCTAATCCCTTGGTTTTACTGTTGCTTCACTCCTCCAGAATAAACAAACTGACCAGTTGAATGTTAATCTAAAGCAGAAAATATGCAATATCATGGCCACCATTTAAAAACCAAAATTTTGTGACAGAGCATTATTCCATGCATATGTCAAAAATGCTGAATCAACCCAAAGATCAGAAATAATATGCAAGAAAGGAAATAAACGTCTGAAAGCCCTTAAAGCTCAGTAACACCGGATATGTTCAATAGCGACTAAGACATAATTGGCTTTATTTTTTCAAGCTCCATCATTAAGAGACTGATTAATTATACAGTGCAGAAATTAAAATCTCACAGCAACTCACTCCAAACATAGTCTGCACKGCAAAGCATCTGTGTGTCATTTCAAATAGAAGTTCGAGATAAATGTAGTGTGCAGCAAATTTCAGCAGTGCCTCAGGCTGGTACTGGACAGACAGAACCACACTCTGCTGATCTCTCACATGAGTGAGCCTGTGTGGTCAAAGGCTTCTTCTGCAAAACCCCAGATGCTTGTGCTGGCAGGCAGAATGTAAAACACAGTGGTCTGTAGCACCTGCCTTTTCTGCATCTTCACGCTGGTTAGTCCCCAGAAGYTTTAGTTATGTCTGCTTTATTCTCTGTTCCAGTTCATGCTTGTGTTTAATAAGCCGTTCTATTTCTGTTCCTAGAGTTTGCAGGTTTTCCTTTGTGGGGGAAAAAAATGATAGGGAAAGTTATAAAGGGAAAATGAGTCCATCAGCACAAAATGCACTAATAAGTCAAAATTACTGTTTATGTCAGCAGGTTGATACTTTCAAGTATCCAGAACAAATGCAAATGATTAGACAGAGCTGGAAAAAACCAAGCTCATTTCAATTAAAGACTCAAAGCTCTGGGCAAACCTTGTTTTGCAGCTACCAGTATTCTACAGGATGTCTAGAAAGTACAACATTCAAAGGGAATGATAACTAAGGAAGAGATCTCCCAGCTTGTGCAGAACACTGCAGCCCAGCTGGCAGCCTGCACACCATTTCCCAGCCTGCCACCTCACCCTGCCACCAGATGTGCTGCCCCAGGAGCTCAAGAGAGCCAGGCAGGCAGAACCCACACTCTTGGCTCCCCATGCCCAGGGGAGAGCATAGAGAGACCCTGCCCTGCTGAAGGCACAGGCACTCCAGAACTTATTTCAAGCAGCAGCCCATTAGTGCAGCTTACACTGAGCGTCCTAAAGTGGAAGAACAGCTGGGATCATGTCACRTAACCCCAATGCTGTCTGTGGCATCCATTCACAGTGGGCTGACTTCTGAAAAGCCTTTAACAGCAGCAGTGAAGGGAGAATCTGAGAATCACAAGAATGCGTGGAAGCAGTGGCACAGTCACTCACTTTCAATGTAATATTTTTCAGTAATGTATCTTCTAACACAGCCTGAAGCTTCCTGTTTATCTCTAAGGAGAGTTCCAACGTGAGCCCACTGTCTGCAGGGTGAGATGTATACAGAGATGCCATAATCCCACCACGCCTACTCAAGTGTACTTTGTTGAAGTCAGAGGCCTCTGATGACAGTGTTCCAGCTTCTTCCCGCAAAATGTAACTCTGAATAATTCTGGAGGATAAAAAAACAAAAAAGCAAYATCATAGCATTACAAGGCAGACAAGAGTCAAAGTTAGACACTGAAGTAACTTCAGATTCCTGACATGAGTAATTTAATTTTCAAGCTGTATTGTATTACTGAAAATGCAGTAAAATTTACTCCTGCAATTTCTGGGTCAGAGGAAAATGTGGGATACCAATAGCAATATAGGAGATGCTGGTAGGCCAAGATACTACAATGTGCAAGGCTTATTTAAAGGTACACTGAAAAGCTACTGTGACAAAAAAAGGCATTTAAAAGAAGTCTCTGCTTTTTTTGCTGAAAGACTCCAGACATAAAACATTAAGCTTCCTATGCATGAGACAAAAATCACTAAGTCTCTTCTCGAGTCTTCCCAAGCTGTGACCATGTTCTGTGAAATGGTACCAGATGGGCATAAATGTATGGACTCATTAAGCAGGGGCAATTCCTAACAGACAACTGCACTTTCCAGAAGCAGGTGTATGCCAGCATTTCTTCCCCTCCTAACTRAAGTTCCAGGCATCATCCTGTAAGATGAGATTTCCATTTAAGTGGAATCTTGTCTCACACATTAACTACTGACCACCTTTGGCTCAGATGAATCATTTGTTTGATCTGTATTCCGGACTACCATCTGGTATAATGAAGATTCTCCTTCCAAAACAAATAGGTCAGGACCCTTTTAAGCACATGAGGGGAATGGACTCATCTCTTAGCCAGTGGCAGCAGACCGCCTCAAATGAGCCATCTGCTAACCATTTTGCTACCAAAATCCCACCTGTGGMAGTTAATTCCTCCTGAAAAACATTTAGTAATAGTAATAATTGCCAAAAACKTGGCAATTACTATAACTGCTGGGGAAAGATAAGGGAAAAAAAAACCCCAAACTAATTCTACCTCTGAAATTTACTGTCACTGCAATATTTTTACTATTAATTTTCTTACATAAAATCCAGAATACTTGTTTAGTGCATCAGCTCAGCACTGAAAACCTGTAAGAACAGAACATAGAACATACTTTGTTTTTTTCCTGATTTCCTCCACCAGCTGTTTAATGTGATCTTCCATGAACTCCATCTTTTCATTTTTTCGAGCATGTGCCTTCTGTAGCCTCAGTATTCTTTCAACCAGGACAGCCTTGTCCACCTCAGGGAAGCTGTCCACAGCCACTGCAGAGCCAGTGTTCTCAGGAGACCGGTCCTCGTTGCTGCTGCGCGCATTAAGGGACCCTGCCAAAACATCAGCATTTGTATAAACTCCTTTGGCTTTTACACCAGGTGAAGTGCCCCCAGTAGAGCAGTGCATGCACTCATTAGCTGTCAGGAGCTTAGGATACTTCCCTCAGGATGCCAGTTTCCCTTTATGTTAGTGGGGTTTTCTCTAAAGGATCTTTGAAGTGTTTAAATACAACACACTGGACAGCAGTGCAGTCCTCTCCCATGGGGGCAATGCCTTTGGTACAGGTGTGCTTCCTTCAGGAGTGCTTATTCCCACTTAAACACCTTCACATTCATTGACTTTGCACAAGACTGGGCTGAAWTTAAATGTGCATTTTGGAGTAAACTAAAATTACAATACTAAGAAAACTGTTCAGATGCACAAAAGCCCTACACTATAAACACTGTGCAGCACTGATCACTGAGAGCTTRCAGTATTTACTTTCTGCTGTTCYAAGCATTTGTCTCTCTCACAGTGAGATTACAGGACATTTTTACAGAACTAACCCAACYTAAAACCCAAACATATCATGGAAGGAAACGGATGCTGTTTTCAGTGCTAAAGATCACTACTTTAGTTCTAACTGGATAGAAAGTCATGAATATTACATAAACCCACTGATGTCTCTAATGATACTAATTGATTTATCATTTACACAGTTGCAACTGTCAATAGGGCAATTAAACAATGTTGGAAGCCACTGCTCTTTTTTTTTTTTTTGCATCTGGCAGCATGTAAAAGGGCCCTCTATAATCTGGAGTCCTCTTGAGTTTCCTCCAAACATAAAAGCAACAAATTAAAAAAGGCAGGTATTTAAAAAGAACCAAAATACACAAACATCACAAACATTACACTTTAATCCCATAATAAGCACCTACAACTGCCATCAGCCAAGTGCATTTTGGTGCTTAGAGGCTATTTTGTCAGTTTTAATGGGAAGCTGCCCACACACTGCAAATGCACAAGCCACATAAAGAGCAAGCACACTATGGCAACCTTGTTAAGATTGCAGGGCTGTTTGGTAGCCCTGCTAGGTRCTCCATTACCTGATGAACTGGAACGGCTCCCCATGCTGCTGACTTCTTTGTCATAATTACCATTTTCCATCTGATCCAATTTCCTCCGTGCTAGAAGTATTAACAAAATGATGGTTACCAATAGCAGGTTAAGAACTGAAAATCACAGCATTATCCAACATACAAAACCTCAAATCCTCCTGCACTAATTTAACGTGGCTTGATAACTAAAAGACAATGGTGGCAGCTAAAAATAAAACCCAAACCCAARCAAYKCCCCATCTCTCTCTGGCCCCAGCYATGAAGTAGCTGGAGGTAACAYCCACCATGACCCCTACACAGCGCTGCAGTTACCAGTTGAAGGGGTTATGTCATACACAGGATTAACTGGGAAAACAGTTAACAATTTGATTTTTCTTTTTGAATCGGCCATGTAAATTACAACTGAATGGCAACTCTGCTCCAGCATCTCCTAACAGTATCACCACMGCCAGCAGAGTGTACTTGTGCCAGAAACACCACTCACTCAGCGGGGATCAAGACAGAAAGCACACAGCTGTTCTTATGTGCACAAAAAGGGACATGGAATTGTCTTGCACTGTGCCAACAGGACCTCTTCCATCAAACACATYTGATTATCTTCAAATCTATTTGCATTCAGAGCATATGCATTGTTGGGTATTTGATGACTTCTATTTGTAGACAAAATTAGTCATCAGTCTCTCCATATCCAGCTTTAAAAACCGAAGTGCTCTATTTAATGTACTAAAAAAATAACCACCACCAGCAATTYCTGATACAGTCAGCAACTAGCAAACTCTTCAATGTACTTGAATACACTCCCCACACAGACCAGAATCCATATACACGTACACTGACACTTCAGYAGCCAGACACAAGATAACAAAAACTAAACTCTTTTGAAATATCTTTCATTTCATGTCTAAATCCACTTCAAAAGTTGTATTTTAGACTGAAAATTAACACAAAGGCCAGCAACTGCATTTTCCACAAGGTCTAACTTGCTCACTCTCATTGTGTTTGGGGACAGGGAGAGCTTGAAGGGTGACACTCAAGCAGTGARCACAGGCAGACAGGACCTGAGCCCCCATCAGACACTGAAGGGGCTACAGATGAGGCTGAYCCATGATTGTAAATAATCTCCACCTAGCTGAAGTTGTTTTGTGAGGTCTTTCAGGTTTGCTGCATGTTTGCGCTTCTGAGTAGCCAGGTCATCCTTCAGCTCATCCACACGAGTCTTCAGTGCTGATAATTCTTCCTGCTCTGAGGCCAGCTGAGTCTGCAGGGTCTCTACCTCTGACTTTCGCTGATCCTCCTCCTTCTGTAACTTTGTGGCCTGAAATTACAATCTTGTTTTCAGTCATATACAAAAAAATTCTAGCCTAACCATACTATATGCTCAACAGCCCTAACTGCACTTTCCACCTGGGAATCATTCACAATTTACATTTATTATTTAGGCTCAACACCAGCACTTCACTTGCAAAGTAAGAGTCCTCAGCTATCTCCAAAATATCTACATGATGCAGTACAAAATGACATTAACTTCCACGACACACTAAGTTTACTAAAAATTACATTTCTCTTACAAACAGGACCTGAGGAACACTTGACAGCAATATTTCACAGGCAAATTAGAACCGTCTGTCTGTTTCAATGACAGCTGCACAGAGAACTCTCTGCTCCCAAACAGACAGAAACAGCAACACAGTGACACCTCCTCCCCCTCACTGCATTCCAGTGCAGTGTGCCTCAGGATTTCTTTCCCCTTGGGAACAAGAGGTGTTGATATCCCACTGCTGTTACAGGCAAACACACAGAGACTGCAGTTAGGTAAGAGAAGACACAAGGTGGTATTCATGTGCCACGTCACTATCTGTGTCAGACATCTCACTAGAGCAAAAACAAGCTGCTCACTGTACTCACCAGATCATCTTTAGCCTGTTGAACACACTCCAGCTGATTCTGCAGCTCTCTTTCACTGTAAGAAAGCTTATCCAACTGGCTCTGTAAGGAATTGTTTTCAGACTGAAGCTGTGCATTCTTACTGGTCAATTTTTCAGTGAATATCAAAAGCTCAGATTCTCTTTTCCGACTACCTTCAATGTCCTTCTGAAGATCRGCAATCAGAGAATTTAAACCATCCACTTCTTCCTTTAAAGCATTGATTTCTTGTTCATCTCTGTCAAAACAATAGTATCTCATTAGGGATAACCTGAGCTTGAAGGCATGAAACTTCAYTGAAATAAAGGCATTCAGACCAAGTACAAATAAGGCAGGGGAACAATTAATAAYCCTGGGGCATCTGTTAGTCACTGGATCCCTAAATATCACAGGAGTTTTCACTTCACTGCATGACACGCTGCAGTGCTGCAGCGAGAGATCTCTGCATCCACAGAAGGACACTCAGCATTAGCTCCTTCAGTGAAGACCATGTCTCCATATTCAATATCTCCACATGACCTTCAGATCAGGGTACAAACAAAACCCTCAAAAMCAGATCTGGTAAGAGGAAGGTCTTACCTTCCATTAACCACACCACACCATGACAATACAGCTGACCAGCACATAGCAAATGGAAAATGGTTGATTTGCTAAACCTGAGGAAGGCCTATAATTACTAAAATACTTTTCRATCATAAATGAGAATTGTTTAATAGCACAAGACGGACACATGGGTGGCTCTGCTTATCTGACATTTATCCATCTCCATTCATGCAACACAACCAGAAGCAGCAGGCTGGACAGCATTTCTGTATCCCAGTCATATGTATGACACAGACACAGGACTGTGCTCAGACACTCCTGAACCCTGCATGAGCCCAGCCCTCCCCTGAGATTATTTCCCTCACATTCTTAAATGAACAAAMTTTGACACAGCAGAATGAATTCCAGTCCATTAGAAAGACAAATGCCTCATACTGTATTTAGACAGTATCTGTCATGTAACATTCTGTTCATTAAATATTTCCAATCATCCATCACAATTTTAAAGCAATTTATCTTTCCAATTTAGTTGCTTCCTATCTCTTTTTTTATAAAACAAGCACCCACACCGGGCACACATACAGAAGACACAACTTTCTACTGAGTATGGTGGAAATCAAGAACTTCTTATTCTAACAATGGGAGACACCGACTTAGATCTATCAGTCTCAATCCTCTTGTTTTATAAGAGGACATCAAGGTTATCTCCAGTATTAGCAACATTAATTTAAATTAGGACAGGCATTCTTCAAATTACAATATACATCTAAAGCATCAATAACTTCAATCAAAAAAACCCTTCCACATCTCAGATAATCTTTTAAGTCATTATTCAAAGTGCACAGCTGTACCTCTGATGTTGATCCTGCAGCTGATCTACAGTTTTGACTCTGTCCAGCAAATTCTGAATTTCCGTTTTCTGTCTATTTATTATTTCTTTGTACTTGGATAACTCATCTTCTGTTCTTAAACGCTCATCCTCTAAGCACTTTACCTAAATGGAAAAAAACCAAAATCAGAAACTATTCAGTCTCACAAACTTCTGAGCAAAATTATTCTGATCATATGTCTAGACTGYTGTACAAAGCTCATGTGTTACTTTTTTTGCAGTTCTAAGTAACTTAAAAAACAAAATAAAAAAAATGAAACTCAACAAGTGTGATTAACATTAGTGCTGTCCAAAGACTCAAAGTTAATCAGCCTAATTGACCAGGATTTACAGATAGGATGCAGTCTTGCTCCAAAACCCAACACTGTGCTTTCAGCCCCACTCCAACTCAGCACATTACCTTTGTTCTCAGCGTTCGAAGCTCATCCATGCTTTCCTTAAATGTTCTCTTCAAGTCTTCCAATTCTTTTATTTTTGCATGATGCACCTTTTTAGAGGGTTAAAAAAGCTCATTGAGAAAACTAAAAGTACAGTGGCATCTCCAAAAAATCTAGGCAAATACAGCTCACCACCTCAACAYCTGAGAAGGCTTGAAGCAGAACAGGTACCCAAAAGGGTTGATTTATTTCTCCAAAAAGCAAAGCAAAACCTCAAAACTTCTTTATTCTCAGAAGGATGGAGAAGAAAAGCAAGATTGCACACTCTGGTTTTAGGTACACAAATCTATGGCATAACAGCCCCTGGGTCAGCTTTGCCATGATGTGTGCACAGATGAGCTGTGAGCAGATGCAACATCTTTACAGAACCTCACTCTGGAAGTAGCAAATCTCTACACWGAAGAGGCTGGCCCTTGTCTCTCCTTGCCATATAGCTTGGAAAAATAGGGGGCAGAGAAAGGAAAGCCTGCCTGTCATCTGAATTTGTGCTGTAAATTACAGAAACATTCRTGTCCTAACTTTGTTTTTAAAAAGTGAATCCAAGGTAATACATGAAGACATTCTCCAAAAAGCAGTGCTGGAGAGTCAACACCTGGGATTAGTATTAGGCCACAAAAAAAAGGACAAAACCCAAAGAATTTGGCCAACTGTAAGAAGCTTTAAATAATGTTCTGAAAATGAAAATCCCATGGAATTCTTAASCACAAAGTGGACTCCACACACCACATATTTACCTCCAGGTGATCAGACTTCTCCTGAATTTGCTTCTCCAGTTCTCCTTTGGTTACTCGGAATTTTGCATCCAATTCATTTGATTTAATTTCTTCTGACTCCTAAAGGGATTGATGAAATATAAATAGAGTTTTAGGGCTTTATGTTCCCCTTTCTAAGGTACAGAGGGCTTTCCACATCACTGAGTCTTTCCTGTAAGTACATCTCTGATAATCCTGACCATGCCAAAAGGGACCCCCACACTGCATGCCAATCAAGACAAACATTTTCCCTTTTATTTAACAGCTTTCAGTAAAGAAACCATTCACTATTCATGTCAGCTTTGGAGCTTGCACAAGATAATACTTCACTGCTAGAGCTGATGCCAGAAAGAGAGGAAAAATACTCAGGCACTAAACAATAATTTGACCTCTTGAGAAAATGTGCTTACYTGATAGGATTTTATCATTTCTTGACAGTTTTTCCTAATCTGATCTCCTTCTTCTTTTGCTTCAGTTAATTTTGTCATTGCATCTTTGAGACGTTCTTTGGTTTCCTACAAAAATCGTTAAAAAATGGGTTAAATCTAGGAAAACCTGTTTATTTAACTTCATMTGAGAAGCACATTTCTCATAATCAAACTTTCCTATGTCTGGAAAGAATTAACAAGACAGTAAGTCCAGCATTTTCCCCTTGCTTCTATTCAACTATTCCTTTATGCAACTTCCCTTGACCCAACACTGAATGYACAACAAAAAAATTTCATTTATGTGCTATGCACATTTTCAGATGGTAGATTTAACTCTATCATCCCTTAAAAACTAAACTGTTATTTAAAACAAACAAACAAACACCAAAAAACACCCCTTACAAATTAAAAGCTGATGACCCAATTAAACAGAATGCCCCTATACATCCTCCCTTCCAACTCCTTTTAACATTTCCATTTCAGTGTCAGTATCTAAGAGCACTATTCTGACTTTTGGTGCAGGTATTGAAATGAAACAGAAAAACCACTTTAGAAACAGATTTTAATACTATGTMGAAGTATGTAAAAGTAAGCAATACAACAACTACATTACTCTATATTTTCATGTAATGGTATCAGTATGACTTCACCCACCTTGTGCAAATCCATTTCTGTTTTCAATTTGTTCTGAGCCCAYTTTACTTTGATAACATTAGAATTGATTTCTTCCTTCAATTTTTCTATTTCTCTGTTGAGTCGAGTGGCTTCACCATCCTGAGAAAATTTAACAGGTTTTTTTACAGAATTAAATGATCCAGTGTTTCTACAACAAAATTCCTGTCCATTTATCAAGTTGTTTTTTCCTTAATGTCTGGGTTTTTCAAAATCATGCAGATACTTCAGAATGACAAATAATGCTTCAATCCAGTGGAAAAATCYACTTGCTAACCAGTTTGAATAGCAAGGTAAGGTTGCATWAATGTTAGTACATGTTAATGTTACRTATCTATTAAAAGACAAAGCACCACAGAGGTGTTTTTTTGTTTCAGAAGTGTAGTTTTTAGGACTTTTAAGATTYTTCTTTYTGTACATAGTCCCACTGCTCAGTAGAGGCCCAAATCTGATCCSAYGGAATTTATTAATTTTTGGATCTTCCACRTGAAACAGAATTGCAAAACAAATCTGTTAAGAACAATACAAAAAGACTTGGATAATTTATCAGTAATCTTACTGCTTTCTAAAAAYGGTWAAATTTTGATGAAAAATCCTATTGCCATATTATCAATTTCTAATAGTACAAAAGAAGAAATACTGAGTGAAAATAAAGAAATACAGGAAAAAAAAAGACTGCAATAATTTAATGTCCTTGCAGTCTTTTAAAAGACATCTGAACAAGCGAGAAATTATCTCAAAATCTAGACATCTGCAACAAGCAGGTTTTTTCAGTTTTGTCCAAACAAAAAATTCCCTAGTGTTTCAAAAAATAATATTCAGAGAAATATTAAAAAAGAACTTCTAAAAGATTGCAATGAGAACTGAGTAAGTTTTTCTCCTTCCCTTGGAGGAAAGGCTTTTCACAGCTGTGCAGCAAAAATGTAATGAGGTTTCTTTTACCAAGTACAACAACAAACAAGTGATAAGGTTGTTCTGAAAGTGCTTTTAATCAAGTTATACAGCTTGAAGTACCTTAGCTTCATAGAGCTGGTGCAATCTTCCTTTTTCCTGAGAAAGTTGTTTGATTTTATTTGCAAGCTTTTCTATTTCTTTGTTTGCATCTCTCACTTTTCTCTCAAGGACTTCCTTTTCTTTTCGGAGGTCAAGTGACTCCTTCTCCCCTCGGACGTATTTCATCACCATTGTCTCCTTCTCATGGCGAGCTTCCTCACATTTCTTGTTTGCCTTGAAAAATACCAAACCAGAATGAAACAAATCCTCTATTTCACAATTAACTGGATACTTTTAGTAGGACTCAAAAGCTCCAGTTTTGCAAAGACTAACATTAGATCYCTCTTAAGAACTGGAATTATACTTCAAACAGTAAATACGTATCTAAGCAGATGCATCTTCACAGCTGAACATCTCAAATGAGTTATCAATACATTAGTAATTTATTGTTTAGAAGGAAAGAAGTGTAAGTTTTAGGAACAAAATAATTTTGCAAATACTCAGTACTGGTCCTCTGTCTTCCCTCATCCATATGTCAACTGCATAATTATTATCCAATGACTTATTTTTCAGTGGCTTATTTTAACAGATTCCTCCCACCCCAGCACTAACAAGTTCTGCTTCGAATTAGAAAAAAAAAATCTGACACTGAGGTTTAAAATACATGCAACAGAGAAAATACCTGGCATAATATGATATTAAGAAGGAAAAGAAAATCCCAKATTTCAGTAATACATAAAGAYAAAATAAGAGSTTTGYGCTGGAATTGAGAAAAATATTAATYTTCTGAAGTCTGTCTGAAGAAAGCTTCTGGCAGTTTTTAGCTTTGAATTTGCTTGAACTTTTGAATCAAGTTCAGCTTACAGGTAAAGAAAATGAGATTGCCTTGAGGGTTGAACTCAATACATAAAAAGGTATGTATTTTTTAAAAGAGTTATCAGRCACTCTGAAGTGTTAACTGCTATTTGGAAATTCACTGCTAAGAGTTATCAAAAATTGAGATATTACTGCTCACTACAAATTCCAATTTGGGAAAATTCTGTCTTACCTATTGATTCAATAAGTTTGTTCAATAATGTATAAGTTCAATAATTTAGGGTTTTCCACATTACCTGTTCCATTCGAAAGGCCATCTCCTTATGCARCTGCTGAATAGTATTTTTGGCTGCTGCATCTTGAGTTACAAGTCTGTCTTTGCTAGCTTTCAGTTCTTTATTAAGCTCTTCTATTCTTGCTTCCAGCTAAAATACAACATCATGATATAATTATAGAGAAAATAACTCTTTGATCATGTTTTACACAGGCAGGCATATTTCACACAAAATTAGATGCTTCAACAGATATCTACCTGTATTTTACACTTGCCAAACTGCAACCACCCACATCAACATCTAGCTTTGCATGATAGTAAAAGCATGAAAGATGTCAATTGTCATCTTCAGTGAGATCGAAGATGCTTCAAATCAAGAAAAACATAAGGCACAGTAATTTACTACATAAAATAATAGATTGACAGCAAGTGCTGAGCTGCCAGAGCAGAGCTGGCTGCTATCTGAGGTTGCTTCACCTTCCATCCTTTTGTTCCTATCCTTAGGCCACATCCTTTACCATGCCTGCAAAGCAGCCATGCATCCATACTCAACGGGACTGGGAATTAATTCATTGAAAAATCACTCAGCAAATAAAGAGGAGCTTAGTCATCATGCTGTCACTTTTTTTAGCCACCTAGCAAACCAAATCAGAGACCTGATCCAGCTGAAGAATAATCCCCAGTGTTAACTGGAACACTTCCCAGTGCATGTTCCCTGCCAAGCCATGCAAGTTCAGCAGGAGCAGCCTGGTGGCTACAAATGCTCTGACACTGCCCAAACGTTGTGCAAATTGTGCCTAATGACTCTCCTCTTGCCCCARGGGAAAGCCAACTCACCCACGTTAGGGGGCTCTGTTTGCTTTGSGGAGAAGGGGCAAGATCTCAGGGTCAGTTTTACATTTTTGTGCAATTCCAAGCTGCTGTGTAAGTGGCAAGAACCACCTAAAACACTTCTGTTACCACACCATGACTCCACCACACTCTGTTGAGCTTTGCAAATGCATCATTTGCCAGACAGAAAGCTTCACATTTACATGCAGATATGTATAATTTGTTTAGTACTGTGAGTTCAGCCAAGTCTTCACAGACTTAAATGCTACCATAAGACACTAACTCAGAAATTCTAACAATAAAACACTCCCACCCCAAATCAAAAAACTCAGGCATTTCACTGCAGTGTATCTTACAACTCTAGGTGCTATTAATTGCTATTTAAAACTATTACAATCCAAAATAGTATTTTCTGAAATCGCTTGCAAGCATGAAATATCACAAATTCCCTCACAATTACTTTTTTCAGAATGGAATAAAGCAAATGTTGCATGATAGAGCTTAATGGAATCATACAGTGCTATCATGGTAATATGGACAAGAAAGAATGAGGGAGCTGCTCATACTGGTTTATTCAGGCACAAGCAATTCCGATTTGTAGCCTAAAATAACACTTTTCAATTCAATTTTCAATCACATGGATTTTCAAATACTCTCTGCAATCAACTATGAATATATGAATATATTACATGAATATATTCTTCTAGAACACTTTAAGCCTGACACCCTGCTTTGCGAACAGATTTCTGTGTGATGCAGACACCAACAAAGAAACCTGACAACCARAATAGTCACCAGCACTTTGACAAACAGAAATTAGTATTTTAAATGCTATCTCTTGCCAGATTTCCAAGATATAACCTGTAATCAGTTTATAAAGCTGGCCAACCAGCTGCAGGGACACCAGCAGATAACCAGTAACAGACAAGCAGTGACACCTGGTGTGAAACCTTTTCTCCCACACTAAAACCAGACTACATCAATGCACACACCATGCTCCTCCTTTGGCCTGCTGTGGTTTTAACAAGTCCCAGAGGAAAGGCCAGTACTTAATACCTGATATTACCACAGCAGAGACTTCCAGATACAGAACACCTAAATGATGTGAACCCAGAAAGTCAGTTTATCCAAAGATACTAAAGATTTTTAGACRATTAGAATACAAGAGCATTATCCTAAAATACATTATCCTAATAATACATTCTCCTAAAAAGCTTAGGATAATAAGCATGGGTTAAACAGTGGCAATAGTGACATTATATACAAGTGAGATTCTAACCAGCACTTCTGTTTTGTTATCTGTACCTGTTTAATAATGCCAAGGTGCTGTTTTTCTGTTTCTGTTCGTTTTTTCAATTCATCTTTTAAGTTGTCCTTTTCTGAGCAAATATCCAAAATCAGCTCCTGATGCTTTTTATTTTCTTTAATCAATCTGTACAGAAAAAAAAAAATTATCAACAAGGTACATCAGTACTGGCTTTTTTGTTTGGTTGTTTTCAATTTTGAATAAATGGATTTTGTTCTTCAATCCGCAAATTTTATGGGAAGCCAAAAACCCTAATAAGCATGAAAGGCTTATAAGAAAAAAAACAAAATAATGTTGTACACATTGAACTTAACTCCAAAACAGCAAGTAGCAACCTCTTTGTGARGAAATTGCTTGTTTCCAGCATTTTAGCGTTGTTGTGGTCCATAATGACATGGGACATTTGGTAACACCATGAAACTACAAAACTGTAAATGTTAGCAATTTTAAGGTAATTTAACCTCCCAGCTTCCAGTCAGTTTCACCAGTCAAATGTCTGAAAACAGAGATTTTATAAACTTCATGGATTTCTCAGAGTACCCATGGAAGTTCACAACTTGGTAAGAAACAGAATCCTGATTTTTTAAGTCCTAAGTAGGTAACAAGCATCCATTCYCTTGCTCCTTATAAAATTCAATCCAGTTCAGCTCAGCTGTTTKATGCCAACACACTCAGTTTGACACTAGCGTAAAACTCAGAAGTTACGTTGTCGAAACTGCTGAATAAAAAGTCTCAAATGTATTTACACATCTGCAGCTGCTATTACAAGGTAGGTATTTTAGGCCACTAATTACATGCAAAAATGCAAAAACCTGAGAAATATATTTAAATATCCCCCTACCTCCTCCTGTCTGCTGGAAAAAAATCACTAAACAAACCAGTCTCCTAAATGATAAGGAATTCAAAACCATCAGTTACAGAGAGCTTAGCACTTGTGATCTGGTTTTTAATCTTATAATGAATATTCCAGGATTACAAATTCTTAGTTCATGCCACAGCTGCTCACATATATATTTAGATCTGTTCACAGGAGACAACTGGACTATTTCCAGAACAATGTTACAAGAAATTCTGATCATAAAGTAAGGGACAARACAAACACAACCCAGAATACCCATCTGGACCAAAYAAAATGTTCCACAGCAGTTTCACACTCTTGAGGTGAGTCCCCATGTGTCAAATGGGTGCAGTTGGGCAAAAGGAAGAGACACTTTTATATAAAGCCTTCTGTATGTATACAAAATACACACACCTAGACAAACACTTRTCTCTAAGGAGGTAATTGGTCCATGGCTGAAAACGTCGACCTGCCTCTGAGTTTACCATAAACAAGTAAAACTCATTACCTCATGATCTCCTGGAATTACCCCTATCTTCACACCCACCACTTCAGATTCCCACTCCTCCTTTGTAACTTCTGAATGTCTAACTGTGCATTCTTGAGTTTTACTGTCATCAACTGACTTTCCTCACATGGACGGTTTCTGTCAGATGTTAACTGGTGAAGTGCAAGAGAATACATTCCCTACAGGGACTCTCTCCCTCTATCTGGTTTCCCTTCCTTTGATGTCCTCCCATATCATGGTACTGGAGAGCCTTATATGAAAAGTAGGACACTCATTTCCAGCTCTGCAAAAAGGAATAAATATTAAGTTAGAGGCYACATTTTGTTAGCAAAAAACATTTCTAAGGAGGCAACGAAGCGTGAAATACCAGGTAAGTAAGGACAAAATCAAGCAATGAACTGGCTTTTGATGAACAGAAATATTCACGTTGAGTACTGCCTGGTGGAACTATTAAGCCCAGTTCCTTATAGAAAAATTTACAAGCCATGCCTTTCAGAACTCCTACTATAAAATGGGGTAAGAGTAGTTTATCTATATATGAYACTTCCAACTCAAACAATACTCTCAGCCGATTAACACCTTTTCTGGATGATGACAGGAGATAGAACACTACTTGAAAAAGAAACAAGCAATTTTAAATATAAATAAAATGCCCACTGTGGGAGTTAGCACTTTCAAAGATTAATTTCTCCACACATATGGACTGAATGAATCCTGGACTATTTTTATACCACCATTATTGCTGCAGTATTTAAGTAATTCTAAACAYTGGCAAGCTATTCAATGACAGTTGGCTATTCAGTTCCTGCCAAATCCTGCAAGAATTCAGACAGCTAAGTACACACTTTTATTTACAAGTACATACCACAWGTAAAAACAATTTCTCACTTAAAAAAAACAATTTAAAAAAACTATCATTCAAAAAACTCATTAACTATCCTCATACCAATTCAACTTGCTTCATACCAAAACATTGTGTGCAGGTGCACACAATATGCAAGCAAAATTGTTCACACACCTCCAACTGTGRTGCACATACTCAAATACTCACTTTGTAATAGTTTGTTCTTGCTGCAGGTATTTATCTTGCACACATTTTTCAAACATAGCCAAGGCATGTTCACCCTTCTGCACRCCATTGGGGAGCTTTGGTTCCTTTGAAAAATCTGTGGATAGGAGTTCAGTCTCTATTTCCTTCAGCAAATCCTCCTGTGAGGAAGCCTGATGTATTGTGGAAATAAGCTTCTTTGTGCAGTCTGTATCGTAAGGGCTTTCTGAATAGATTTTATCACTYGATTTTTTCACAAAGTCAGATTCCTCCCTTAGATCCTGTAATATTTCCATTAATGATTGTTCTGGCTGGTTAGTTTTTGGATTGTGTCGTTCAAGTTCTTCACTAGGTAAGTGTTCTGGTTTCGGGGAGCCTTCTGCCTTTCTTTCACAGCAGGCACTGGCAGAGGAGTCTGCCCCTCCACACTGCTGCTGTCCTTGTGCTGGGGCCCCATTGCTGCTTACACCAACAGCTGCTGAATCCTGATCCGAGGGCAACAAAGTCGCTTCCCTTYCCAACACACCACCATCACCTCCAGGGCAACCGATGTTTGAGCAGTCCTTCATTCCAGATGCTGTATCAGACTTCTCATTMTCTGTGGGCTTGAAAGAGGCATCATTTGACAGACTGCCAGGCTCCAGTGTGTTCTGCATTTCTGGTAAATATTCCTCCATAATCTTCCTTCAGATATCTAGATGCAGAATTCATATTACAACMTATTATATACAATATCAAAAGAGATTGAGATCAGGAAAATAAAGGCTATTAGAAAGTAGCCTTTACTAGAAAGCAAAATTCAGAATGCAAAAGTACTTAGATATGTGTTATACAGAGTTTTTTGCTCTTTCAGCCCAACATTTAAGTAAATGCGACAGTACATGCGACAGTAAATGCGACAAGTTGTTCTAAAGGAAGGTGAGAAATTAGGATAGCGAACAGGAAGCAGTGGGATAGTAAATGTCAAGACAATAAAAAAGCATTATTTTTAGAACTAACAATTCTACCMTTTAAATCCACAAAAACTCCAAGTGATAACCTCTAAAAATACTTCACGACAATAAATAAAAAAAGAAAATTAAGCATCTATGGTCTTATAGCTTCTACCTTCCTACGCATGATTGGAAAGCAACGATGTGTCTTATTCACTTTTACAACATAGGGTGACTCCCTGATCCAGCCAGAATATCCAACTTACTGTCACRTCCTCACTGAGCATCTATACAGCAAAATGCATCTGTACCCAGGAACCTAAGGGAAGGGCTGGGGGAGGATGGGGGTGAGATTCTCTTTTCCCATCTGCTTTCAAGCAACCAAAATCCCCAGTGGAAGAGCACAGATGGTCTGTGGCAGATCTGCTCTTTCAAACAGTAGCTTGCAGAGCAAGGACTCCAAAAGCTCTGCAGAAGCTCTCTAGAAGCACTAGAAGGACACCATATTGAGACCCAAATAGCCAGAATACTTATGGAAGAGCCTGGGTAATGCTGCATCTTCTTTATCAGGAATCTCAGATGGTTCTGTGTCTGAAAAGACTACCRGCATTTTTAACAAGCTCAGGAAGCCCTTCTTTCCATTAGGAGAAATTCATTACAGCAGTCCTAATTTATATACGCAATCCTATCCCTCCCGGATAATTTAGGCTATGTAAAAACAAGRCAAACTTTTCATTTATAAATTCAACTCTACTATTCCAAGAGCCAGCTCAAAGACAGTGCTTACTTGCCACATCAAACTTGCTCTCTGACTTGTTCAGCTCTCCCTTACCCAGCCACAYAATCTGAGCCACTCAGGTACTTGCTCCGTGCTCCTCCTTTCGCCCCAGCTGCAAAGGAAACAAACCCCTTTGTGCTGCTGAGCTTTGCTCCACTCCCCCCAGTTCTGCCTTATTTGCAAACACTTCTGACTGAGGCTCACGTTGTTAAAACAGAAGGATATGCGAATCCCATTAGGTATGGCAACAATTGCTAGCACTGTCACCAACAAAAAGCAGCTTCAACCCCACTGTTTCTACCAGGAAATACCATCACACAAAACACYTACAGTAAGTTTCTGAAACCAATAGCTGGGCAACAACTGGCACTTAATAAGAGGGAAGCACATGAAAATAAGCATTCAGCTGAGAATACAAAAGGGAACATGTCACAACTGGACAAGAGTCACAAATCATCAAATGAGAATCACATCTTTTTAAGTAACAAGCAGACCACTTCTTTTTTGGTTTCAAAGCCAAAAAAATTCCTCAATGCTACAGTCTCTAACCCAGAACAAATCAATAGGAACCAGAGCACAAATGGTATGGGAGAGGTACAAATGAGAACAGAGATGGGGAAGGAGAGAGTCTATACAATGTGACACTTTTACAAGGATTCCCCATTTTACAAACAGATCTTCTCTGGTGTTAATAAAATCCCTGATTCCCCTTTGCTTCAAAAGATTTATATTTAGGCCAATTTGGAACTAGCAAATCCATCTTTGTGGTTTGTGCAGTCCAAACAAATGCTCCTTTGGAACCTATCTAYTCTTAAATAACTTTTGCTAGTAATGAAAGATGGTAATATACTACTGTTTTTCTCAAACATAATGAACCCAAATTACAATCTCAATGTGCAAGCAAAAATGAACATAACTGCAAGAAGAAATATTCAGTTTGACAGCAGCAGAATACATTAGCTCCTACTTAATTAAAATGCTGTTAAAAAAAACAGTGCTTTCAGATAAGTGCACTTTAAATGATCAATAACCATAAGATAATTTGCAAATGATGCAGTTAAGATGGAAGAAAAATTCACCTTCTAGTATCTGCTCCCTCTTGTCAAAGGTAATTTACAATCCACACACTCAGCTGTAAAAGATACCGTAYTAGCATAAAGCTGAGGAACTGTTTTTTTTCCTCTAGTAGTTACTTCAGTCTAATTTCTTGATGATGCTTTCTCTGGAATAATCAGAGAGGTTTTTAAACTCATTTTAAGCCTTTYTAAAGTATCTTCTGGAGTGCTATAAAAACTCCCAAAATTTGCAGTKGTTTGATGCATTACTGCCTCAAACCTGCTTGTGACTGCCCAGCTGTTGCAGTTCACCACTRCCACAAGGAAGGAAGTGGTAAAATCAGATACATGAACTTCTGTGTTGTTTGTTATACCTAAGATTTCCAGTCCAGTCAGCAAACTGGAGGGCATTTATCCTCATACRGAAAGAACAAGTGAAAAATACAGCCCTGTTAACAGCGTACATTAGGAAGGTCTCTAAGTTTTCTTTTAATTGTGTAACTTACTTCTGTAAATAAGACTGCGAATTAGTATTACAAAGACTAATCTACATGGAAGCAGAAATACAATTATTTGCACAACTCAGTCACAGAGGAAAAAAAAAAAGGCACTGACTCGGTATCCATAATAACTTACTTATTATTACTCATAAATAAAGTGTAGGTTTTGAATCAAATGCATGGGAAATTTGAGTAGTGATTATACAAATCGGTTAAAGCATGAAAAGTAAATTATGGTGATTCAGTGTTCCCTGCAGTCGTACTTTAATTTTCAGTGGTACCTAGAATATAATTTACCCCATTAAGTTCACAGTCTTTATAATTCCAATACACTTGATTTCAGCCTTATCTGCCCAAATCTATCTGAACCAGTCCATGACATACATGGAGGTTTTCTTCCCCCCCTACTGTCACTGAACAGTATTAGCTTTTACATTCTAATTACTAACTTTTAAACAGAAATTAAACAATTGATCACARGGTCACAATTTATTCTCACACCAGAAATGTCCAGACAAAGAAGTTATGTGGAGCAGCTGTCAATGCAAATTCATACAGATATGCAAATATCTCTTGAATATCCAAAGTTTGTTGTGCCTACCTCAGCCTACTGAATAGATACTTCTGAAACCTCTACTGAATAGATAYTTCCCATATAATGCCAGATACATAAAACTGCAGTGATGTCACCACAGAAAAGGCTCACGACTTTGTAAACAAAAGGTTCTGTGTGACAGAAGCTTAAAAAGATCAACACTGCTAGTCTAGCAGTAGCCAGTTGAAATGAAACATGCTAATATTTGACTGTTTCACATCAAACATACAAATCCATCAAGCTCCAGGTAATATTTGGACACCACCTGATAGGAGCTCCACGCCTTTGCAGGTTTAATATCCATCCTGTATTACTCTATTCATCTTTATAAATTACTTTTGCAAAATCAGGCAGATATGAAGATTATGTATACTGCATTAAGAAAAATAGTTTAGTACCTTTTATGATGTCTTCGAAAGGCATCAAACACAACAAAACAAAGGCAAATCTTGACAGAAGCAAGTGAACTGGCTTATGTAATGATATGTTTAAACATCAAACAAGCACACAGTGTGTCAGTGAAAGCAAAGTGCCCAGTGAGCACTGACCAAGCTTCTTGCCCTGTTTTGCAAAAACTACCTTCAACTACTTGCTCTGCTCCCTCCTTAGGTCTGATGATCACCTTAAAAAACAGCAAAAGTGTGCTGCTCCTGGTCCCATCCATGTAATGTTTGTCTCACCCCACAGTATCAGTCCCTTCTGCTGCCAGTGCTCCAGGAGAATGCAATTACTACCAAATCAGCTCAAAAGCCTGAGAGGGAACTTCTCAAAGCAGCATTTTGAGGCTGGCCCAGCCCAAGCCTGCTTGCCCACATACCATGARTGACTGCTATCCATCCAGGCAGTCATTGTCTCTGTCACCGCCTTGTGACAGTTTCTGCAGCTGTGACAGGACCCTTTGCTGTGACTGGACTCATGTAACTGGTCTGACCAGTCATCCTCCTCCTCTGTTTTACAGCTCAGAATCAGTCTGACACTCCAACACACCTGCCCTGTGCTCCTGCTCCTGTTGCACAGCAGAGGAGGCAGCTGGCTGTGTGTCCCTCCAACTCAGTGATACTAAGAAATGGGAGTGGGAATGCATCACATCAAACCCTGGTGATGTGAGCAGCAGGAACAGGAGCACAGCTCAGCCAGAAGGAACAGGAGAACAGCTCAGCCACCTTTGCTCTGMAGCAGGGATGAGCCTCAGGCCACATTTACACACACRAACAAAACATCTCCCTGCAGAATAYACCAGAATATAGGCAAGTAGTACCCTTCAAAACCAAAACTGCCTTTTTTTTTAAACAGCCACTGTGTGTTCCCATCACAGATGTGTTCTTCAAAGAGGCAAAGAGCATACATACTTTTCATCATTATTAACAAAACTAAGTTAAAATTGAAATAGCACATACGATTGCCAARTCCTGATGTAACATTTAAAATGAGTAAGTAGTTAGATAGCAGGCACAGGACACACAACATTAAGGGCTGGTACTGGCAGGGGTTACAATCATTTATCACACTACTTAAACTGAGATGTGCTTATCTGCCAAATTGCTGAGAGCACAACTGACTATAATCAGAGGCAGGGAGCATGCCAATAGAGTGAGTGAACAGCACACCAGCCTTTGAACACACATATCTCCCAGGTATGACAGGGAATGCAAAGAATCAGGAAACAGCAATTGTTTCATTCACTTTCTGTTACACAACAGAAACATCTTCTATTAACTGCTAACCAGATGATAAAAATAAGAACAAATGATTCATTTAAGCACTTTAAGGAAGTATCTGACACAATGTAAGTATTAACTTGGGAGAACATAAGATACACGGTCCTGGAACATGC